TCCCATGTTATAAACTCTTCCAACGATTGCTACTTGTCACACGTGTCACATGCTGTGCCTAGCACCCCTCACCATCATGGTCTCAATAATGCTCACATCCACCCCAAAACCAAGGGCTGTTATGACTTTTGCTGTGCAGATGAGGACACGGAGGCGAAAAGAGGTTAAGAATGTCACCCATGTGATGATCATGCTCAGGCTGTCCGACTTCATACCCGTAACTACACAGTGCTATGTATTTGTATCATGATGGTTCACTCACTCTCTCCCTACAGGGATGTCTGTTGTTTTCACCTGCCCTGCACACATCTTTCCCCTGGGAGAGGGGACTGCCCAATTCCAGACCTTGGTGCTCAGATGGGGGCAGCTATTGGATGCAGGTGAGCATCCAATCAGGGTCTGGCCAATCAGGGCTCTTTTGGTTCAGGAAAGAAGTGTGATCCTGCTTGGTCCATGCAGGCATGATGAGAGGGAGGATGCAGGTGGAATCTGAAGAACCTGCCTGCGAATGGGACCAGAACAGGAGCAGAGCAAGGGGACAGACCAAGTCCCACGCAGTCTTCCAACACGGGACCTTGCACCACAAGTGGGCTCTGCTGGACTTGTCAGTTAACCCTTAAACCTGTTTTCCCTTGGAACTGCCTGGGCTGTTTTTCTGTCACTTGTGACCAAGAGTTAGGGCGAGTAACCGTTTGTTGAACATTAGGGTTGCTTTCAATTTTTGCCTGCACAAACATCTCTACACTCAGAGTGCATCCTTGATCTCAATCATTTCCTGAACCATTTTAGCAGAAGTGAATGACTTGGCAAAGGGCCAGGCACGGTCATGGCTCTGTGATCACTGTCATTTGTTTTAGGGCTCCAAAGGATTTGGACATCTCACTCTTCCACTCTCAACATTGTATGATAGCCCGATTTCAAAAAATTGAGTTCCGAACAGAATTTTTTTTTAAACAAGCCAAAATTGTATTTGGTTTTCAAACAGGAAAATTATGTTAATATAAAACAGATAAAAACAGACAAAAATCAGAACACACAACACGCAAAGACCAGTGGAAATCCTTCTCAACCCACTCCCCCAAGTTTTAAAACCCTTATTACAGTTCCCCAAAGATTAGACTGTACTGGAGATGTCACAGTATTGAATCAGAAAAACGAGAAGAGACACACTTAATAAAAAGGTCTGTACACAGGTAGTGACGATGGACATGTTACCATTCCAACAGCAAAACGATGCAAAAGAATTTCAGTGGTCATCTCAGGTTTTAGAACCTACCGGCCTGCTAAGTCCCGTATCCACTTGGAAAAGTTGCTTTTAAAAAGGATAAAAAGTGCACAGACACTTTCGTAAGGCACAGACAGATTGTTGCACAGGTCACTTCACTAGGGACAGTGACACACTTAGACACTGAGGATGCTGGGAAGCCAAATGTTCCCGAGCCAGTGTCCCGGCCAGAACTGGGGCGGGACAGGTGGAGCAGTCTGAAGATATCACCAAGGCTTTGCACAACCTGTTCTCAACCCGAACTGACTTCCTCAAGCTCTCCAGGGCCTCAGGGATGATTACAGAACCTGCAAGGAGCAGGTAGTCTGCTCCGCATGCCTCCCTGGCACGCTGAAGGTGGCTTCTCATTGGTGGAGCCTTGGAGGCTCGGCCGAAGGCTGTTTTGCCAGCAGCCCACCGACCACTTGGCCCTGCATGGCTAATGTGGAGGAAGGTCTTTGAAGCATGGGGGAAGACTCTGGGCCAGGAAAGTGGCCTTTGGGCACTTACTTAGATGGACCCAAGGCAACAGAATGGTCAACAAAGCTCAGTGGGTTCCAGCCTATGTCTCATTACCCTCTTAAATGTCACTACCTCTGTTGTGAGAACTGGGGCACATCCTTTCTCCATCCTCCCAGCAGCCCACATTCAGTGGGCACTCAGCAAATGTTTGTTGAATGACTTAGTGTGAGTGTGTATATGGTGCCATTTCACCAACCCCATGAACATCAATCTGATTTATTCTGCAATCCTTTACTGAGTATCTATTGTATGCTAGCATAGGACCTGACATCAGAGCGATCAAGTGAATTTACAGATCTGGCTGTCTCCTCAGATCATGACTCCTTATAGTTTTGTGCGCTTAACTCTGTGTCCAGATCACAGGCCATGCTGATGAGTGGGTGTCAAATGACTAAAAAAGTATGCTATAGCCTGGGCAGGGGTCACAGCCCTAGTAGCTAAAATCCCTGCTCTGGGAATGCACTAGAAAAAGGAACATACCATGCCTTGGAAACAGCAGTTTTCCAGAAGGCCCCAAGTGGGCGGGGATAAGGCCACAATAAATGGGGTGTCTTCTGGTGTTCTTCCAACTTGCCCCTGGGGCTCCGGTTGCTGTGGCTCGGAAGGATTCACAATGGGCAATGGTTCTGGAAGGCAGGCAGGAGGGTGGCCATGAGGCCCTGGGCCCCTTCTGAGTATTTCCTCCACCCTGCCATGACCCTCCGGTAACAGAAGACCTTGGGTTGGAGCCACAGTTTCACATAGCTCAGCCCTGAGGGCGGTAAGCACAGGAGCCTGTCAAGGACATTTGTCCTTCCAGGGTGTGGGCAGCACAAGGGCTGTGTCCTGGCACCTTTCACAGAGGCACCTGAGCCCTGGCTTTTTCCAGGTGAGTCTCAAGGCAGACTCAGTGCTGTGCTGGGAGCCAGGAGCAGGCAGTAAAGCCCAGAGCAGGCACTCTGGGGCTTGGATCCCAGCCAAGTCACTTCCTGCTGTGTGACCCTTAAGCCACTTCACTCACAGGACCTTAGTTCTCACCTGCCACATGGGACAATTCCGTATTTCAGGGATTCTAAGTAGCATGATCTTTCATAGCAGAACACCTCTGGTGGGGGCGCACTGGGATATATGGCATGGTGCCCTACAGTTAAGATTGGCAGTGTTTTCTCATGATCCATAAAGTGTGGTTTAGAGTCAGTGGGGTCGTATATGGGACCTGATGTCACTAAGACCTGCCTCACAGGATTCATACACGAAGGTGCCTCCCTAGCTTGGCGCCAAGGCACATAGCAGGTGTGAATTAAAGGGCACTGGTTCTCTTGCCTGTCTCTTGCTCCGGTTTCCAGGGGACAGAGCAGAGGATGTAGGCATCACCTCATAGCATGAGCTCCATTTGTTTGGAGCATCAGGAAACACCTGGTTTCTAGACCCTTTGCTCCTCTGGGTAACACACAGCAGGTTAACCAGGCCACTGGCTCCTTTTTGCCCAGGTAACAGATCACCAGGAGCACACCTAGTCTGCCCCTGGGGCCAGGCCCACAGGTGCTGGTTTCCTGGTGGTGGCATATGTGAACCTTGCTGGAACTCAAGGAGCAGCCAGCATGGGTGAGAGAGAAAGGAGGCCCCTCCCAGGCCACCGAGAACACCAGAGTTTGTGACTGTGTCTCAGCTGGGTCGGGGGATAGCAGCGAGGTGAGCCAGTCACTGGTGCCAGCCCTCCCACACAGGGTCTGCTGAGGCTCTACCCAAGCCCAGCACATGAGGAAGCAGAATGTTTCTGCTAGGCAAATTCAGCTGGACACCCAGGGCTGCTGGTTCTCAAACTCCTACACTGCAAACACTGGGGTGCCAGTAGCTTCTCAAAAGATTCAGCTATAAAGTTAAAATATAGATGTTTCCTGCATTCATTAGCAAACAGCCAGTGAGCAGAGGTTCCAGGTGAGGCTAGGGAAGAGGGGTTCTGAAGCTGAGACCAGGACAGACAACCACAACACTCCCAGCCAAAGAAGGGGTGCTTGGCCCAAGACCTCAGGCATCCCAGGGGCACTGATGGGCCTTGGGGGTGTTGATCCCAGGAGGGCCTGGCAAATGATTTTCATATGAATGCATAAACTCCATGGACGATCCCCCTCCTTCCTGCCCTCCCTCTCTGAACAAAGATGACCAGATTAGTAACTGTAAGAAAAATGATTGCTCTGTGAAAGGTGTCCCAGCCTTTAAGAATGCTGTGCTGGTCCCCGAGATTGCCCAGAGTGCCCAGGTACTAGACTTCCACGTAGGACTGCAGGAACACAGGCCAAGAAACTTCCTATAAGGTATAGCTGGGGAAAGGGCAGAGGTGGAGACCAGAAGAGGGTTGGTGGGGGTAGGGCCAACGTTCCAGGAAACACCTGCAAAGGCCTGGAAAGGAGATGAGTCCCAATGTTGGCATTTTCGGTTAATGTCTCAATTACTAGCTAACGTCCTTATCAACTAACAGCTTAGCAACCAGCACAGGAGTGCAGTAAGGATGGGACCAGGGTCCCAGCAGGCTCCTGGGAATTCCCACAGCCCTGGTTAATGCTGTGTCCAGGGGCCACCATGGGAAATAGGGAGTGCTATCTGTGCTCTGCACCAGGCATTTCTAAGTCCCAGTGAGTTACCTGCCTCTGGGCCCGTTCCCACCCCCAGGAAAAATGCCTCTGCCTTCTCCCAGGAGAACAGGAGGGACATTACAAAGGCCCAAAGCATGTAGGGACTGAGACAAGGGATGATGTGCTTGTTTTTATGCTGTGTGGGGAGAAGGGGGTGAAAGATGCCACAGCTCAGAGCACTTGACCTCAGCAGCCATCAAAACGTGCCTCCCAGTCAGAAGAACCAGAAAAAGCAAGTCGTTCTTTGATCATCTCCACCCATCTGCCCCCTCACCAGAAGCGAGTGCTTTAGAGCTGTAAACAATGTTATTTTTGCCTCCTCTTAGAAAATCTGAGTGTTGCTTTTTCTTTATCAGCCAAGGGAGTTCTGTGTAGGTTCAGGCCTTGTACATTCAAAACCAGCTTATCCCAGAAAACCACATCCCCAGCAAGTGAATGGTTTCTAGTTGTGCTAACATCTGGGCTCCAATTGCACATTCCTTAGTGTTAAATAACATCCCTGTGTAAAATACCTACAGAGTTGTCTCTCTTTCTCACTCATTCTCTCTGTGCTGTCTCCCTCCCCGCTCCCTCCCCCTCTCACACTCAACTCAACCCCAGAAAGAAGCATTGCACAGATAGAGGGCGCTGTTTTTCAGCTGAAGGTCACCAAAGCGGCCAGGGATCCACTAGGCAGTTCCTGAGCTTGCTCTTGGGTCAGCCCTTTTGGGGCAAAGCACGTTTGAGCCAGAGCAAACCTTGCCTGGGCGCAGCCCCCGGGGTCTTGTCTCCAGGCCTGCCTACCACTGCCCACCATTGGAGAGAGGCCAAAGGGAGATGGCTGCTGCCCCTGTTCTCCCTGGCGGGGGTCAGCGTGTTGCCTAGCCACACGGAGGGCTTCCAAAAGGTGACATGGTGGCCAGGCTACGGCCTGTAGATCTTGATGACATCCTTGATGGGCCGTCGGCAGATGGGGCAACAGGCCCGTGCCTGCCTTTTGAGCCGCAGGCCACAGCTGTAACACAGGCACATGTGTCCACACGCGTAGATGACTGTGTCCACCTCGCCATCGAAGCACACTGTGCACTCACCACTCTTGCTGCCTGTTGGTTCTGGAGGGGAGAAGGCTGGGGACACTGGGGGACTCAGCGGGGAGCTGGGGGCTGTCACTGGCAAAAGGGAGATAGAATGTGCATTAATGATGTGGTTCTCAGGTGGGCTTTGCTGGGCGACCCCAGGGAGGCAGCACTTCTATGGTGGAACTGGTTTGGTGGGGGGGGGCAACTTGGAGAGATGCCAATTTTGGCTTGCCTGTGGGATTGGCTCCCTCTTCTATTCTTCTAGCCTGCCAAGCATCAAGATCAAATGCCACTGCCATCAGCCTCTGGGATGCCCTATCTTGAGGTTTCTGCCCCTCCAGCTGGATACTGCAGAGGGCAGGTGCAGAGGCAGGGGGCAAGGTGGCTGCCCTGTTTAGCCCAGAAGGCCAAGGAGTCAGGCCTGTCCCCTACTGGGGTTTGCATTTCCTTACCCAGGGATGACTCTGACTCCGAGGAGGACTGGTTGACACTGAAGGTCATATCTGAATCGCTATCATCCTGGGAGCCGCTGAAGGATCCTGATGGGGTCGTGGTGGCAGGACTGGACTGCAGTGTACCTGAGACCCAAAGAGACTCAGTGAGAAGCAGTGGGAGGCTGGACATGCTCTGCTAGTCCCTGCTTTTTTTTTGTTTTTTTTTTTTTCTTTTATTGGCAGCACTTGGCTTTGAACTCAGGGCCCCATGCTTGCTGATGGCTAGGCAGGTGCTCTATCACTTGAGCCATTCCAACAGCCATTTTTTGTGATGGGTTTTTTTCAAGATAGGGTCTTGTGTACTATTTGTCCAAGGCTGGCTTTGAACCACAATCCTCCTGATCTCTACCTACTGAGTAGCTGGATTATAGGCGTGAGCCACCTGTGCCCGGCAAGTTCCTGGTTCTTTGTTATTGTGCATCTCAGCTTTCCTGTCTCTCTAAAGAGAGGAGAGCCACCTCCCAGGGTCTGCGGAGGACGGATGAGTTCTCAGAAGGGTGATGGGTACCCGTTCTTTGCCTGTCTGGCCTCTATGTTTTGAGTCTTCCAGAAACAGCACTGGGGTGTCGTGGGTCTCCACTGCCAGGTGAGGCCAGTAAGAACTTCCACTCCATCTTCCCAGTGCTGGTTCAAGGGCATGACCTCAACGCAGAGAAACTAAGGCAGATACCTTAAAGCAACTGGGGCCAATAGGAGAAGGGGACCAGGTACTAGAGGAAAGGTTAGATCAAGAAGAATTAACCTAGAAGGTAACACATATGCACAGGAAATCAATGCTAGTCAACTCCTCTGTATAGCTATCCTTATCTCAACTAGCAAAAACCCTTGTTCCTTCCTATTATTGCTTATACTCTCTCTTCAACAAAATTAGAGATAAGGGCAAAATAGTTTCTGCTGGGTAGTGAGGGGTTGGGGGGAAGAGGGAGGGGATGGGGAGGGGGTAAAGGAGGGGATAGGAGAAGGAGGGAGAAATGACCCAAACATTGTATGCAAATATGAATAAAAAAATAATAAGAAATTAAAAGCAAAAGAAAAAAAAAAAAAAAAAGGAAGGGCATGAAATGTAAGCAAGGCCACTGAGGCCCACTTCTAGAACTTCCACTATTGCTGGGAAAGGAAGGGCTCATTCCCTTGGGAGGCAAGCCTGGTACTTTGGGTGCTGCTCTGGGGCAAGACCCTGCCTAGAGTGAAGCCAGTAGGGGAAAGCAGAGCTCTGAGATGGAAATACAGATGGATCCTATCAATACTAGATCCAGTTGTTCGTGAACCAACCCAACCTCCACCCAATCTAATCCACCCAATCTATTCTGAGTTATGTGTGCTAATAAATTTCCCATTTTGCTTCAGGCACTTAGAATGGGGATTTGTTACAAGATCCTTGGCTGCTAGTGTAATCAACATGGATGAGTTTTTCTTCCCAAGCTCTCTGCCAATTCAGGTAAGTTATTTTTCAGGATGAAGAGAGATGCACTTCCTTGAGGATATTTGAAGAGGTAGATGGTCAGATAATGTAGCATAGGGCTCTCTGAGGCTGGGACCAGGGGAACAAGTCCCTAGCCTTCAGACATAGTCCCTTCCTTTCTACCTTCTCTCCTGACCACTCAAGGCTCCTCCTGGTACCTCCAGAGGTGCAAGGGAGGGGGTGGGGTTCAAGGCTCACTTCTTGTAGGAACTTGGGCAACTCAGGCTGACAAGTTGCTCCTGTAATGATGATGGTTAAAGATGGCAGAGAACCTATTTCATCCTCATGGCAACCCCATCATGCAGGTGTTACTCTTTTTCTATCCAGAAGGACACGGAGGTTCAGGAGAGTCTGTGATTCGTGCAACACGTTCATCCTTCATGGTTGACCAGCTATGTGACTCTGGGATGTCACTTAACCTGTGTTTTGATTCTCTTGTCTATAAGTGGGGGTTCTGACGGTCTCACAGGGTCACCAGGAGCCACAGTGCCAGAGGCAGCATGTGGAATGTTGATTGTTTCTGCTCCTAGTTGGGACTGATGTCTGGGACATAAGAGTGTTGCTGTGCTCTCAGGGACACTTTCCCGATCACTGCCCTCACTTCCCCAAGATGGGAGGGAAGCTCTCCTGCTATAGCGAATGTCACACTACAGCTGTCCCTTCCAGCATCTGTGAGCTCCTCAAATGCAACATGGGTGGACTGTCCTAGCTACCAGGACTTGGCCTACAGCTTGTGGCTTCTCTTTCTATTCATGGCAGGAGGGAAAGCAAGAATGTTCTCAAAACGGGATGGCTCAAGCCTCCATCCCCTTTTCTGCAGACAGTGCCATTCTCATTCCCTCTGGCATGTGTTATTGAATTTACTTTGTTTCCTACACTTAATACGCATTACATAAGTCTTGAAAGTCCTAATACAATAAATCATAACAAGGGAGATAAAAATTGCCCCGGCCATTTACCGACTGCATACAGCCTGCCAAGCCCTGAAACCAGCCAGTTACCTATCTAGATTGGTGATCTGCAAAGCGCAGTCCAGAGAGCGGCAAGGCCAGCATCCTGAGCACCTGTTGGGAACGTTATCTTCTTAAGGTGCGCCCAGACCCCACTGTGAAGGGCAGTGTGGAGTGGGTGGAGCCAGGCGGCCTTGGGCGGGGTGACTGACAGGAGGGGCGTGGTCCTCCCAGAAAGGGGGCGTGGCACGCTAGACGGGACGGGGCGACTCACCAAGGAGGCGTAGCTGGCCGGCGGGGCCGCCGCGCACCGCAAAGAAGGCCCAGAGCGCCTGCGTGGTGTCCACGCACAGCAGGCGGCCGCGTGGTCGCCCGTTGACGGCCAGCAGCACCTCGCCGCCCGGCCGCAGCGTGAAGCTGAGCGCGTCGCCGCCACTCGGCACGGGCCCGGCGCGCGCTACCACCCAGTACTCCTTGCGGTCCAGCAGCGCGTCGGGGTCGGCGGGCAGCTCGGCGGGCCGCAGCGCGCCCGGGTCACACGACGTGATGCCGAAGGCCAGTGCGCCGGCGGCGCCAGCCCCGGACGCCCACCCTCCACGAAGAGGCTCTCGCCGGGCCGCAGCGGGCGCTCGGAGAAGACGAGCGTGCGGCCGCCGTCGGGCCGCGGCGCGCACGCCACCTTGCGGTCCGCAGACAGGCTCACGTCGGGCCCGCGCGTGGCGTGGAAGCGCAGATCCGCCTCGAGCAGCGCGGGCGACGACGCGGGCCGCGGGCGCTCGCGGGGCCCGCATGGGATGGCGGCGGCCGCCACGTCGGTGGGCGGCGGGCCCGGGCTGCGCCCCAGCGCCAGGTGGCCCAGCTTGGCCACCACCTGGCTATTCTCCAGCTCGTTGTTGTCGAAGTTGGCCGCGTCGTGGCTGCTGGGCGGCAGGCAGGCGCTGAAGCGGGCCTGGCCCAGGCGCGCGGGCGTCAGCGTGTCTGCGAAGGCGCTCTCTGCAGGGACAGGGGACAGACGACAGTGAGCACGGGTGCCCGCAGCCCGATCCCGGCTTTCCGTGCTGTATTCTTGTTTAATGCGCGGCGGGAGCATGCAGATGGATTAAGCACAGTACTGTTTGGATTGACACTGACCTTTGGGGGACTGGGGAGCCCTCTCCCTTTCCAATCCCGCCTCCTTCCTTCTCTCCAGGTCACCTCCCTTTCTCCCACCCTCCTCCTCCTCTTACCTCCCTCCTTTCTTCCTCTTTCCCTCCCGAGATTTGAGGTTTTCATGCATTTTAAAAGTCCTTTGCGTGTCTGTCTCCCCGGCCAGAACCTAACTTTCATCACAGCCACCCTGCCAGCTGTGTGCTTGTACAGAGAACGGAAATAAGGCACGTAAGTCACCCGACGGCTGCCTGGGAAAGAAGGCAAGACCCGGGCAGGTCCCCTTATGTAACATAAGCAAGGCCTTAACAAGAGATGGACTCAGTCTAGAACAGAAAGCCAAGGGGAAGTCTTCCAAGTCTGTTAGGAGTATGTTTCTGAATAAGGAGTAACGGAATGAAAAATGTTCGCGGCACGACCACAGCTGAACACGATGAAATATGGCTTATCGCTCACATAGTCCAGCGCTTCACACTTTGGTCAATATGTGCTTGTTTTGTCTTCCTAATTAGAATGTGATTACTGGGAGGGCAGCGTCTGTGCCATTCGGCAACCCACCCTGTGCTTAGGGCTTAGCAAACTATTAGCGTGACACTTTGTTAATAGTTCAGTGAATAAATGAATGAGTTAATGAGCTCTCTAGAAAACACTGCCACGCTGAATAACAAAGCAATCAGGGAAACAGCAGTCATTAAAAATATCTCGAAGGGTTTTTAGTAATAAAATATTCTTGTCAAGCGTAATCAGTACACAAGAAAAAGTGTTCCTCAAACTTTTTCAACCTGACCCCTCCCGCCAGGACTGTCAATGGTTACTATTTTGTAGTTTGTATCCTGGAAAAATCTGTTTCTTTCTCTTTAGTCTTCCAGTTATGCACTGAAATCATAAGGAACATGGCTTTCACGCCCCAGACCATGAGTCTGATGTGTTCCTCTTAGACTGGGTTTACACTTCTCAGAAAGCCAGGAGGTCTGCTGACAGCAGCGGCCGCTGTGCTGGCCTATTCCTGAGGAGGTTTGGTCTCCTGTTCCATGGCTAGAGGTGGGTCCTCTCCCCACACAGTGCACCTTGTCTTAGAGAACACCTTCCCATATACAGCTTGAGGAAAGAGGTTCAATTGGTTTCAACTGGTTCTTTAAAAAAAATATGTTTATATCATTTTATGTATATGCATAGGAAGTCAAGTTTTAGAAATGCACAGAAGTGCTAGCAGTAATGATCTCTTGCAATAAGTGTGTGCAAGACTTTTCTTTAGATTTTTTTTGGTATCCATTTCTACAAGTATGACTACACATTTTTAAAATAAAAACATCAATAAATATTGTTAAAAATTGAGTTTTCAGTTAATATTTAACAATGTGGAGAAATGCCCATAATATAGTACTAAATGAAAAGAGAGCCAGGCCCCAGTGTCATCCTAGCTCTCAGTGTCACGCCTGTAATCCTAGCTACTCAAGAGGCAGAGATCAGAAGAATTGTGGTTCGAAACCATCCCCAGGCAAATAGTTCCTGAGACTCTATCTTGAAAAAAATGATTAGAGAAAAGGACTGGTGGAGTGGCTTAAGCAGTAAGACAGCCTGCCTAGCAAGCATGAGATCCTGAGTTCAATGAAACCCCAGTATCACCAAAAAAAGAAGAAAAAGAAATTATAAAACTGGGTATATAGTTTAATTCTAATTTAGTGGGAAATGGATGCATAGGAAAAATATAGGAAGGAAATACATAGTGTAGTTAGTTCTGGGTAGAAATTCCCTTTACAGTTTTCTAATTTTTCTCATATATTGATGTTGTGATCAGAACAAAAAGCATGTGCAAAAGTATAATAAAACTAGTACTTTTTCTGAAGAGTTATTTTAGGGAAATGGTTGTTGCAGGGAGCTTTTTGGTGTAATGCACTTTTCCCAGGGCTCCCTGCCCCACCCACGGTTGTTCTGCCAGGCCAAGCCTAAAGGCGTTGGTCTCAGCTCCCCAGAGCCTCTGATCGCCTTGGGTCCTGCTTGCTCTGGCTCTGCTTTTGCCACCACCTCACCTCTGCCCTCCACCCCCAATGCTCCCTTCTTGTCCCTAATGGCCCCAGACCACAGCCTGTTCCTTAGCAAGCATCCTGGTTAGCAGCATGGTTTATGTTGATGGGAAGACCTAGGTTCAAGGCCTGGCTTTGGCTCTTCCTGGCTGTGTGATGTTAGATGTAATTTCCTCTTTTAAAGCTTCAGCTTCCTCAATTTAAAATGCAATAATAGTGGTAAACCCCTCGCCCATTAGGAAATTCAGTTACTATAAGAGTGTCGTACAGAGCACAGCACTAACTGCTCGAAGCACACTGGTTCTGACCATCACTGTTCAGTTATTCCACAAAACATACAGAGCTCTGACCACGTGCCAGGTGAACGCTGCTGAGCAAACAGGCATGGCCTCTGAGTTCATGGATAGCCTTTCCAGTGTGAGACAGACTCCCATAGAGCTCTCCTTCAAGAAACTAATGAGCACCACCAAGACCCATCGGCTTCTGTGGCTTTGTAAGGTGGGCATGCTTCCCTGGGGGAACTCGAGATATTGTGTGCTACTCAAGGTCACACGCCAGGAAGGGACAGAGCTGGGGTTCTCCAAGAGTGTGTGCAAAGGGGACTTGCTCAGCAATGGGCCAAAAAAGGCTTCTCTGACAGCCAGGAGGGGGCTGAGACCTGAAGTCAAGCAGGAGGCGGCTGGTTGAGAGTGGAGCAAAGCCAGACACTGGGGCTCACGCCTATAATCCTAGATACTCAGGAGGCAGAGATCAGGAGGATCACAGTTCAAAGCCAGCCTGGGCAAATAGTTTGCAAGGCCCTAGCTCGAAAAACCATCACAAAAAGGGGCTGGTGGAGTGGCTCAATGTGAAGACCCTGAGTTCAAACCCTAGTACCACAAAAAAAAAAAAAAAAAGTGGAGCAAAGCATCCCATGTGAGGAACAGCATGTGTGAAAACTGAGGCTCTGGAAGCCTAGTGTGTTTGCGGGTCTGGATTACAGTGTATGGGACCAGCCCTGAGACTGAGACCTGGCACAGCGTAGCCCCTCAGGAAAGGCTGGGTCCTCCTGATTTACTTCCGCGTAAGGAACTTTGCTCCCTTTGCCATCCGCTCTGACTGAGGCAGGCCCAAGCTAAGCACAGTGCTGAACTAGGCCTAACAGGTCAGAATCCACTGCTCAAGAGATTCTACATGGGAACCCTGCCAGCCACAGGTCACCCAAGGGATGAACTGAGACTGCTGGCTTCTAACCTGTGACTCACTCCCTGCCACAATTAAAACACACACAGTCGTTTTCCTGAGCACCTGCTTGTTGGATCTGTGGATGCTGAGTGCCCCACCCAGTCTTCTTCAGTTTATTATGTTTTTTTTTTTTTACAATATTGGGGATTGAACCCAGAGCCTTGTGCATGCTAAGCAAACACTCAAGCACTGAGCTACATCCCCAGCTCTTCTCTGCACTCTAAAATGGGTACATTTCACAATGGGAGGCCAGGAGGCTCTGGAGCAACTCAGAGTCTCATAACCAGGGGGCTGGGGGGGATACAAAAGTGGGCTCCAAAACCAGTCCCCTCGAGGGGCCTTCACCCAGCTGTTCTTCAGTTCTTAGAGCTGCCAGCATGATGACTTGGCCTCAGGTCAAGCAGCCTCCTTGGCGTTTCACTCTCCTAATATGGCTCCTGAAAGGGAGGGTCCAACAGGCACCCCTTCCTCCCGTGGACATCCACTTAGCACATCTCACACAGCATCCCCTAGGTCATGTACAAGGAGGCTGGCCTGGCAGGACAGGCTCCAGCTCTCCCTGGACTTTCTTCAGGGCCTAGCTGTGGGTCTGGGATGAGCCGGGGTCTTCCTTTCTTTCCCTCTCCTCTCTTAGCTCGAATATGTCTTGTGCTAGAAGAAAAGCAGGATTTACGTCCCAGGAGAAAAGACCTTTGCATGATGATGAAAACAAAGGGAGGAAGAGCTGCAGGCAGAGGGACTCATCCATCAGTGACTTTTTTTGTTGTTCCGACCATGCACTGGGCACAGACATGACAGGATGCACTGACAGAATGGGGGTGAGGGAAAGAGGATCTGAGTCACCTATCAAGTGGGCAGAGCCCTTTGTTGACAATGGGGATGCCAGAGGAATGGGGGTGGGGGACCAAGAGTTCCTTCTGAGTGTGTTCAGTGTGGGATGTGCTCAGAGCAGGAGAGGCTGGGCAGGCAAAGGACCTGCCAGAGTTTAGGGGGGCATAAGAGCTGTGAGCATGCATTTGGGGACTGCTTTGATTGCATGTGGTTTGTACCCAAAGGGATCCTGTGTGGAAGCCTGGTCCCCAGTGTGGTAGAACTTTTGAGAGGTCATTAGTGCAAGGTCATTGGGAAGGCTACTTTAGGGAGTGGTTGATGCCGGTCTTGTGGTGTGAGTTAGTTCCCTCAAGAGTGGGTTGTTATAAGAAGAGCAAGTGTAAGCCACCCCCCCATCAAATCTCTCTGGCTTCCTGTCTCACCATGTGATCTCTTTTGTATGGGCTCCCATCACTGCAATTCAGTCACCATGAGGCCCTCATCAGAGGCCAAATCAATGAGACTGCCTGATCTTGTATTTTTCAGCTTGCCCAACTATGAGCTAAACAAACCTTTTTTCTTTACAAAGTACCCAGCCTTAGGTATTTTGTTATAGCAATAAAAAACAGACTAAGAAAACCAGCTTAGAGGTAGCACTCTAGGCCTGCTGATGGACTCAGATCATCTGGAGAAACTGGGTAGATAACGAGAAAGGGCCTTGCTTTTAAAGCAACTTGATTAAGTCTATGATTGCTTTTATATATGTTTTGATATGTGTGTTGTATTACA